CTTGCTGGGGGAAATGGCAGAGTAAATATTTGGGCGATGGAGCCCCTAGTGTACATGGGAAGTCAATGAAGAACTTAGATTATTGATCTCACATTGCCTCTCTAAGGAAATCAAGTTTTAAGAGGCCTGGAAAACGGTAAAATTATTCGGTAAAGAGAGAAGTCCCCAGCTGTCCAACAAGCAACGAGGGCTCGGTCACTCACTCACCCTTCTTTCTGAGCTCCGGTTTGCCTTTTTTGACTGTGGCCATCACCATGTCACCCACACCGGCGGCAGGAAGTCTGTTCAGTCGTCCCTTGATCCCCTTCACGGAGATTATATACAGATTTTTGGCTCCTAGAAAGGAGTGTAAGCAGAAGTGATGTTCTTCTGAGTGTAAGCAGAAGTGATATTAGGCAGCTCGGCCGTGGTAACGTTTCCCCCAACACTTCCCGCCACACTCACCCCCACCCCAAGGCGGACACCTTGTCACACCACCGATTGAAGCAAAGCAGCACAACACGCTGCCGCTTCACCCAAAAGCGGTGTTTTTCCTTTGCCCTTTCTTGACGGCTCAGTGGGTCATCGGCAAGAGGCCCAACGAGTGCTTTTAAAAGGGGCAGGTGGGCAGGGGCAGCCGCAGGTCTCACCGGTGTTGTCAGCACAGTTGATCACGGCTCCTACCGGAAGCCCCAGGGAAATCCGGAACTTCGCCCCGGAGGACCCACCGCGTCCTGTGGGTGAAACAGCAGAGCGCTCGCCGTCCGGCCATGGCTCGGAGTCCCCTCTTTCTCAGGCTTTCAGTTCATGCGCATATGCTCTGCGAACTGGACACTACGGACTCCTCTCTCTCGGGCTCCACTCACTCCCTTCCCATGTGCCAACCAGTCCTCAGGGCAAATCGCCAACTCATTACAACCACCTTTACGACTCAAGTCTCGCTCCGACTTTTGCACCACGGCGTTCTCCCTGCAAAGCGGGGGGCCGCGCAAGTCCCCCCTCTCGGGCCTAGGTCAACCGGGATTCAACCCCATTCCCGCAGCGCTGGGCGTGCAGCGAGCGCGCGGGGTGCGGTCCGGCATCATGTCCGAATCCCGCAGCTCAACTCTCCGGGCCCCCCGACCGCCTCTTTCGGGGGCCCAGCCAGGACTCTCGCGGGGCCCCTCCTCACCCTCTCCGGCTCGGACGAGAGCCAAGCGCCCCAGCTGCCCATGGCCGCCGCTCCCGGCGAGGCCAGCAGCCACCACGCAGCAGATGGAGAAGGATCACCCAGGGCCAAAACCTCACCTCTCTTCGACATCTTGGAGGCCGGAAAGGGATGGAAAGGAAGTACTCACAAAGGATGCTGGGATATGAGCCTTTACGCCC